ACAAATGTAGAAAAAAGCAAGTTTTGTATGGAAGAAATCAAATATCTAGGCCACATAATTGGAAAAGGAGTAATAAGAACCGACCCAGAAAAATTTCTTCAATACGTGACTTTCCAATTCCGAAATCCATAAAAGAGGTAAGACGATTTTTGGGAATGACTGGCTGGTATCGGAAGTTCATTGGAGTTTATGCTACTATATCGACACCGTTGTCTGATCTTACAGGAAATAAACGAAAGTTCCTTTGGACACCAGAAGCGCAGAAAGCATTCGATGTGTTGAAAACTAAATTAAGTACTGCTCCTGTTCTTCACAGTCCTCATTTTTCTAAACCGTTCGCAATTCATTGTGACGCGAGTAATACTGGGGTTGGTGGAGTGTTGATACAAATGAATGAGGAAGGTGATGAATTACCCATAGCCTTTATGTCAAGAAAATTAAATAAGGCTCAACGAAATTACACAGTCACTGAGCAGGAATGCTTAGCTGCGGTACTAAGGGTAAAAAAATTTAGGCCATACATTGAAGGATATGAATTTACAATAATTACGGACAATGCTTCCTTGAAATGGTTGATGTCTCAAACTGAACTTTCTTCACGCTTAGCCAGATGGTCACTTAAATTACAAGCCTTTAATTTCAAAATTATACATCGCAAAGGTAAGCTTAACGTTGTCCTGATACATTATCGAGAATAAACAATTGTTACATTGCGGAAATAGATCATGGAATATTTGTTGACTTGGAATCTCCGTATTTTGAATCAAACGAATACATAAATTTGATCAAGAATTTCCAAGGAAACCTCACAAGTTTTCCAGATATCTAAATAATGGAAGGCCGTATTTATAGACGTAACAACAGAAATCACAACGACTCCTTGCATGACGAATTTTCCTGGAAGCTCTGGTTACCAAGCGAAATGACGAATGAAGCATTATGGCGTGCTCATGCAGATTGTTCAGCTGTGCACGCTGGGATGAATAAAACCTTGGAAAATTTAAGAAAATTCTTGTGAAGCCTGCAAAGTTAACAAGCATCCTAACCAAATTCTCCGGCCACCAATGGGTAAAATTGTCGACACAGACCGGTTTCCCCAAAGACTTTACGTCGATTTTGTTGGTCCTTATCCCCGCTCTCGTAATGGAAATATCGGAATACTGGTAGTACTGGATCACTTTTCTAAATTTCCCTTTATCAAACCTGTCAAGCGACTCAACACTGATGTGGCATGTAAGTTCATAGAAGAAGAGGTATTCCATACCTTTAGAGTACCGGAGACTGTTGTAACGGATAACGGAGCTCAATTCGTTGCAAAAAAATTCAAATCTCTGCTTTTACGTTATAATGTGAAACAAATTTTCACTGCAGTCTATTCACCTCAAGCAAGTGCATCAGAACGAGTCAACAAAACTATAATAACAGCTATAAGGTCTTATGTGAATGCAGATCAGAAGAATTGGGATGAAGGACTGAGTGGAATAGCTTGTGCTTTGAGATCGAACATTCATTCTGCAACCGGTAAAGAACCGTATTATGTTGTATTTGGTCAACACATGGTTACCAACGGAAAAGCTTACTCCCTATTGCGGAAGCTAAAACTTCGGGATGATAGTTTTTTTTTTTCGTACAAAGCACTAAAGACTACAAAACCCACGTTTTTTATCGCTTCGACAATTAAATTGTATGGTATATGAATTTATATGAGTGCAGGTTTTTTCAATAAACAGCTGATTTGAGCTGTGTTATTTAAAAACAACTTAAAAGATGGCAGATTAACGTATATCAAATATTGGCTTAGTCCATCTCTGTTCAACATACAAAAAAAAATAAAAAAAAGTTAGTGTATATATTTTTATTTTAATAGAGGAATCAATCAGTCTACGTAGCTACGTTTATCTTGCGATTTATGCTTCTTTAAAACTTCTAGCAAGTAGCAATTTATTCACCATCCCTTTGAAAATCATCCAATACATGCCCACGAAACAGCCAAAACAGATAGGCAGATAGATGACATCTATGTATGCAATAAAAAGATCGTTTCGCCTTATTGTTTATTTAGTTGATTCAGGTAAGCTCGCTCAAAAAATTAAAGAGCATTGTTTAATATGAATCAATGAATTATTGTATACAAGTGTCAATTATGCACCCACGAAAGTCGGGGACGTTTTTATTTGAATGAACACTACCTACTAGAGCATAACCTAACATATTTTCATATGTTTTTCGTATGTTTCTTTCCTACCTCCTTTTGAATTCATATGTTCTTCATATGTTTCTTTCTCACCTCCTTTTGAATTGTAAACAATTTCGTATGTTTCTTTCCTACCTCCTCTTGAATTGTAAACAATTTCGTTAGTTTCTTTCCTACCTCCTTTTGAATTCATATGTTTTTCGTATATTTCTCTCATACCTCGTTTTGAATTAATATGTTTTTCGTATATTTCTTTCGTACCACCCTTCTGCAGAACAACTACAACCAAAACACTTATCATCAAACAAATACAGGCTCACTCCTTCAATTAATCTCAACTGGAAACAAATGGAGACTACCTTTCTCAATATTTTCCTGTCAAGCGTTTGTGACCCATTGAAACAAAACAATGACTCAATATAATTGCCAAGCAAAACGTGCAATGGAGTTATATGGCATGCCACGGGAGAATCTATTGCCTAAAGTAAAAGATCGTTCAACTGATGAGTTGGAAATACGTGGTATTAATATAAAAGGATTTCTATTCGACCTTGAAAATTGTCGTTTCAGCAAACCGTATTATACGGTTAACAGTACTTTTGAGTCAAAGTTATACCTTGGGCACTATGAAGAGACCTCAGTATAATAGTTAACATGCGTCATGACGAGTGAATGTGGAATAGTATGTTTAATCTGTATGGTTAGGTATGGGTTTAGATTGTACCATTTGCGGAGAAGAGATTTTTTTTTTTTGCTGGAGGTAGTTGTGGTGGTGATGGTAGAGGTGGCCGAGCTGGTTGTAGACGTCGATTGAATGTCCAGCGGAGTGTGTTCAAGTTTTTGTACATATATTTTTTATATACTTTCATTTATTTTCTATTAATTTAATCCTATCTATTTAATTTACTTTAAACTTAATATAAAAAAAATTTTTTTTTTTTCTTGTAGTACGCTGGCCATTATTTCTTGATTTCCAATAATCTGTACGACGCGTGAGTTTTACAAAACCGAGGATATTTAATGTTATACGTTTGCAAATGGCAGGATCAGCAAAACAATTTGTTTACATGTTTTTCAAGATTTTTATGAATATCTTTTACACAGCTACGACATAAATGAATGAATGGTAATACACTTAATTCTACATATTATAAATTTAAACAGCTTTCCCTCTATCTTTAGTTTTATTTCTATCTATTTTCAGAGGTCCTAGAGACCGCACGGTCTCAAAAAATCGAACGCCAGGTCTCTAAAAATTGAATAAAACTAGTCAGGAAACGTAAACAAAATGTTCAAAATACTGCGAACATATGCACTATTTTCTCTAGAGGCATTGTTGAAAAAAGTAAAAAAACATATACGCTCATGCTTATTCTCACATTTATAGGTAAATCGGAATCGGTCGTACAGTTTTATCGTGCCTTCAATACAAGACCCCGAATACGACAGGCTAAGGGCACATATGCCCAAAAGCATTTCAATAAATAAATGGTATACAATATTTTAATGCGTGCTACAAAGCATGAACTAATCTGAAATCTTTTGGTAAAAATGGCAAAAAAAAGAGATTATACTCGTTTTTTTATTATACAAGCAAAATCTTGCTATTTCAATTTTATTTAAGCAAAAATTATATGTAAACAAGTTACTGTTTTTTCATACAATTAAATTAAGGGTTTCAAATTTATTACTGTCATCATGATGATGGCCGAACATAATACGATGTAGCAAGGCAGATCCAAGTAACTTCTTGCCTTCGCCGCCCCCTGACTTTAAGTTTCTGTTATTATGTTGTGTGGGCGAAGAAGGAGAAGTCGAGAAACTTAGTTTAAAGAAATTTGGCATAGGTGCTGAACTTGTACGTTCGTATTTACCGCCCGCTTTATCTTTCAGTAATTCCCTTTTACGCCTACAATATATAATTTGAAATTTCGTTTTAGTCGCACCGGATTTATTGTATACTATAACTTTTCAATCTAGTGTCATAGTAAAAACTAATTTATTACTATCTGCGGATTTGCAAGAGCATTAGATACACCAAAAGAGCGAACTTTGCTTGTACTAGTCTTTGTTTGTTTTATGATATGCGGAGGAATGGCTTGTTGACGATCTGCTTCATATTCCATTTTGTGCAAACGTTGCCGATGTTTATACAAATTGGCACTGGACGCAAAAGTCATTGGACAATTAGGGCAAGTGTACAACGCCTCACCCGTATGTAGTGAAATGTGTTCTTATAAATGAAGACAACTCTTATAGAAAAAGACAAAAAAATTAAGTTGAAAGTAAAACTAACCCTTAAATCTTGGCCACGCTTAAAAGCTTTCAAACACATGCTACATTTGAATTTGCGGACACACTTATGATTCAAGTATATATGACGCTTTAGAGCTCTCTCGGTAGTTGATACTTTACTGCATATATGACAACGATGTTCATCGTTTGTATTCTCATGGATGTTTTTCATGTGCGTTTTCAAACCAGCCAAATGACGATACCATGTACCACAAAGCTTGCATTGTTGCCGTTCCGGCGTTAATTTCCTTTCAGTATGCTCCGTGACATTATGTTTTTTTAAATTGTAACTATTTTTAAAAATTTTACCACACTTATAAATAGTTTTTATGGACCATGATCATTTTTTAAATGTTGCTGCAATTTACGATCCGTCGGTAATCTAAAAAAAGAAAACCAATATAAGAATAAAAATTATGGAAGACGAAACAGTTCAGAACAGAAAATAAGGAATTCGAATATCGATGATAACGTTCTAAATAGAAGTAAGAAAATTATGAATACTCGCCATTCTAACTTTTCCAGTTCCAAAGATTGTGAAGCCCTTTACTTTTTGTATTCTACAACACTTGTGGTACAGAGAATATTAAGTATGTGTCGACGGATGTTACACGCAGAATGACTTGCGATAGACGTTTTATGATGCCGACCGATTCATAATCATTTCAGGATCATTTTTTATATCGATCTAAGCCTGTCTGCCCGTCTGATTTAAATTTCTATTCAAGCTACAGATCGTAGTTTTTGAGGTATTTCGATGAAATTTATTGTAGTGTCGTTCTTTGCCCTAAGGACGAACGTTGTTGAAAATTGTTCGGATCGGTCCGCATTAGCGGTCACTCCCCCATATAACGCCCTATTCCGAAAAATCGTTGAGATAAAAATTTTCAACTTTCAAAATTAGCTAAGCTATAGTATTTCGACATTTTAATTTGGTGTGAAAACTTTGAACCAGCTGGAGCATTTTTTTGAAAACCCTCTCATGTAACCAATCCCACTAATATTGAATCTTTATGTGGAAACAAGTCTAATTTTTAACATTTCATAGAAAAAATTGTCTCATGATAGCAAATTGACAAACAAATCAGCCTTAAAGAATTTAGACAATGTAGGTATATTTTTTAGATACGTAATGCTTATATGTCAAAAAGCCGTAATTGTTAATTTCTTTGCTATGAAATTTTGTTCATCATAGTAATTTAATGTAAAAAAATGAGGTGGACCTAATTTGAACACGATGGGTTTACTTGTTGGTCCCACCCCATATAAGATTTCTTATGAGCAGTAAGCCTTTCGGAAAGAGGCTTAATTTTTAATATTTTAGATGAAAATTAATTCATAGTAGCAATTGAGCGAAAGAATGAACGGCAGAGAATTTGGATCACATAGGTATATTTTTTTGACCTCTAACATATATAAGCGTTAGCAGGAAAAGCCAGCTCTTATATATATAAGAGAAAATCTAATCTTCCTGTATGCGAGTTTTTATAAAAATTGTGGCTTTGCACGAAAATAATATATACTTTTAGGGCATTATATCAAAAAGAAGAAAATAACTGTACTAGGCGAAGTGGTGGAGGGTAAGTAATGGACGGCGTTGCCCCGCTATAATGTTCTTACTTCTTTTTTATAATCTTTCTAAGCTTTTTAACCGTTGAACGCTTATTTCTCATGGATTTTTCAAGCGCATCCATTCTCAAGCCGTAGAATTCAAACAAAAGTAAATGGAGCGCTTCTCACCTTTTCATTTCAATTGAGATTTTAACGAAATTTGACAAAGAGAGTTTCATAGTGCAAATGTACACATATGGATTGCTTAAGATATTTTATATAGTTCCAAGAAGAATTACTGCACGGTTTGGCAGGAGAATTCATTTATATATGATTTTCTTCTCAAAAGTTTTGAAAAAGTGCACAAAAGTGCGCAATAATCAAACAACATTAATTTAATAAAATTAAAAAACGGAATGTTTCGCGAATTCAAGTGAAAAAAAGGAAAATTACTAGCGATCAGGTGCACCCGCAAATAACAAAATATACCTAATCCTCTTTTTACACGATAGACACGTTCCCAAAAAATTCGTGTAAGGAAACATATTGGCTATACGGAAAAATTAATAGATTAGCTCCCGACCTAAAAAAGACAACTGAAAAGTACAATTAACGATACTACAAAGGTCTTATTAGAGTTCACTTAAGAATTTATTTTGTGCTTACACATTTTAAATCTTTAAATATACTGTAAAAATAATAAACTTTAGACAGTAACACACAAAAATTGACACGAGATTAATTTAAAGAAAATTTAATTAAGAAATGTAAGAAATAATAAACTAAACAAAAAAGATATCTATATTTTATTGAGGCGCAAAACAAAGAACATCGTGTTCACGTTGGGCCTTTTCTCTGCACATCACAGTGAAGCTTCGTTTGTTGATTTGCTGAACAACAAATTATAAAAAATTATATTTTGTAAAACGAAGCTAATTGCGTAAATAGTACAGTACCTCTTTACTTTGCGGACACCTTTAATGGACATAATCTTACTGAGTTATGAAATGTATAACTTTGCATAATATGGATTTCATGCATGTTTGTGAGTGAGAATGAAAAAATCTTAAAAACAAATAAAAAAAATCATCAGAAAAATTCATCCATGAAATTTATGGATTGTCGAAAATCGCGAAAATTATTTTCTTTCTAACTCGTTTTAAATTAAGTTTAAGGTAAAACAAAATGAGAACGAAAGAGAACAAGGTGTACTTCGCAATTTACAACTACGTTCGAAATAGTAGTTTCGTGGGATTTCTACACGTATGTTTGAATCATTAACATCATACATCGGACAATTAAAATTTTATATCTATAGCCATTACGCCGGCTACTAGTACAGCAACTACCTGTTCGTATTCGCGATCAAGGGACATTCTCGTAAGTGATTTTCTCTTGATCGTATTTCGATTATGGCAAATATTCGGCAGCCTCAGCCACTCAGCCTCAGTGCCCGAAATGATTGACATTGATCAAAAAACGAAATTCATATCTGACAGCGTCCGTAATGAAAGGAAAGAGTTCAAACTGGTTTCGCGATATATTATTAAGAAATACTCATTCCCGGCTCTCTGTGAGCTTTGTCGTAAGAGTAGGAGTAACTTGATTTTATGCGATCATTCACACCTTGAGAAGAACTCACTAGGAAGATAAGCTCGACCACTTACAAATACAAATTAAAATTCCTAGGGGCATTTCCAATTGCCGTAGCATTTTATAAAGCCGCCCCGCCGTCATTTGTATCCCAGCTCTCTCGGCGCTTCCCGTTCTGCTGAACGAGGGAAAGGTTATATATATAATATTTTGCACGCTTGCTAAACATAACTGAAAGATGGAAAGAGAAAGAAAAAGGATATGAATCATTGCGTGACCCGTATACAAATTTAATGCAAAGATAATAAGCGCACATGTTACTCTTTGAAGTTCAGTTTTTGTTCCCAAAAATGATAAAAAATTAATTGAAAAAAAGAAAAATATTGGTCTTTTCCTTAATTCTGAGAATATTGTAAAAAGCAGTAGTAAAATAAAATCGTTTAATATTAGTTCTCTTAGTTTTTTAATATTCGTATTTTACACATATGTTTTGCTATGTAATTTGCTTACCTCTGAGATTACTTTTTTCTATTTTTTTTATACGCTTGCTTCTATTTTCAACATTAAAAAATTGATTTTATATATGACTTGATTAACGTAATATCTTGAATTGATTTAATAAAGCAGAAGCTATCGCAAACTCAATTGCCCAAAATTAATCAAAAATTCCAAAATTCAATTTTCTTATAAAATAATTTATTACTTCCTATGTTTCACTTTTAGAATTTGTTAAAAAAGTGAAGACATTTTTATTGCTGCTTTATTAGTGTTGCTGCCTCTTAGCACCTCATGCAATACCGTCTCAGTCAAGTTTAGAAGATAATGCATTTGCTCCAGCGTATTGGTTTTTAAGTGTTTCTATGGTGTCCGACCTTCATATTAAATTGAAATAAATAATTGAGGTATATCCATAACGCCTTCATCAATTTACAAATCCACGCGACAGTCTTCCATTTTTCTGGAGAGTACCACTTCTGGAGAGTATGCACTTTTCGGTTTTTTTCGGGATGGAACAGCAAGTGTCTTAGATTTATTATCCTGTGGTATTTTTAAACTGAAAGTCATATAAGATTCCTTATGGACCATCTTTCAGATATGCGGGGATCAATTGCTTTCCGGAAAACCAAGCATGTAATATGTGGTAATCTTTCGAAACGTATACGCATAAAACCCAAACAATTTAAGGTGTAACGCCAGTTCTTCATTAGAGTGGCGTTTCTCCCGACGTGGTCACTGTCAGGCGTTATTATAATTAAGATGCCCTCTGGTCTTAAGTGTTCATAAACCTTGCTGCAGCAATTGATGCGCTACTCCGAACTTGGCATATATTCGAGCAATAAACTGAACACAACACATTCGTAATATATAGTCGGTAAATAGGTCACTGTATTATTTTCCAACCCAATTTTAGGATTTTTTATTGACTTGATTTGAACATTTAGGAAATCAGTTTTTAAAACATCATCAGTAGCTGGACACAAGTCAACAGCTGTCACTTCAAAATATGATACTTTAGCAAATGGATTAAAGCAACTACCAACATCCAAGACTTTTATCTTTTCTGGCACATTCTTCACATATCGACATTGCGAGCAATCAAATAGTGTCCAAGAATCCAATAAGCATCAACCTAGAAAGTTTTATAAATGACAACGAAACACTCGAAGCCACTACAAAATCCTTAAACTCAACAAACTGTCTGTCAATGGATGGCACAAATTCGCTGAAAGTAAGTTCCCATTATTCACATTTTATCCATTAAAACTTGAAAATTTTCTTAGTTTTGGAATTTGAAACTATTATTAATCTTTTTCCCTAAGTGGATGTGTATAAACCTCCAAGCAATTCATGTATTTCCACTCATCAGTTTTTGTACAGCACGATCGAATTTTCTGGAATAAGGGTACACTTCTCTCTAGAAATTGGATTGCCTTTAGAGAATAATGGCGAAGAAGCTTTACGTAATTACACAGAAATTAAAAGCGTTATAGTTAACCTTAATCAAAAAAACTTTTAAACTATATTTAAACGCCGTAGCGTTATCTGTATTATTTTTGTACTCTTAATAGAGTAATCAATTATGAATTTAGGACTTGTTTTGATTATAGACGAAGGATTTAAATTTTTTGGTTGTTAAATAACCCTTTAGAAACATGGTGCACT